TTTACGGAAGGGCAATTGTCAGAAAGAGAAGTGCAGCAGCATAAACCACCAGCAAATTCAGTATGGTGAGAATTGTGTGTGGTAGATAATGTGATGAGATGGGGGGGGGAACCTGTCCTTTATAATGCTGGGTTGCGTTATCATGCTAAACTGAGAAAGCAACAGTCAGAAAAGAAAAATCATTGAATCATTTAACTTTGATTTGAAACTACTGAAATTTAACTGAGGCGAATTTGACTCAGTCAAATTCTTGCTTAATTTATTTCGTTGCATGCAGTACAGGCATTTACTGGGATGCATCAAACCCTTGTTGCTTTGTGTAGCCAATATATTTCATTTCAGAGGATATGTGATTTGCTAAATATTGAAAGCTTCAAACATTTTCAGTGCATCATTAGCAGTCCTTTACAACAGTGGTCCCCAACCTTGGGCTTCCAGCTGTTCTTGGACTACAACTCCCAGAAGCCTATACCACCACCTCTTCTGGACAGGATTTCTGGGAGTTGAAGTCCAAGAACATCTGGAGGACCAAGGTTGAGGACCACTGCTTTACAGTGCTGGAGAATGTTTCAGATGGAAGACAAACTTTGCAACTAATATGTCTGTTTCTTTATTTTGGGTGGGTCATTCAGAAATGCTAACAACATAAAACCGCTACAAATCAATCTTTGTCTCTATAAGGTGCTGCTTTGCACATGACTGTTGTTATGGCTTTGCAGAGGAACAAGGCTGCAACCCCATACTTCGCAGATACAAATGGACCTGTAAGGACAATACTGTGGTATGTGGTAAGGAAACAACTTTAATTTCACTGCATTTATTTAGTTTATTATAGGGTTTGGAAGTATAAACATGTGCAGATGCTCTTAAAACAGCAAATTTGACTTTACTCTCAAAGGATCACTGTTAGATTCTTCAGAAACTCAAGGCTGAACTGTATGTTGAAGATAACTCATCATTACAAGAGGCAACTTAACAGCTGGAAGTGCCTGCTTGTGAAAGTAGGAGGATTTCACACTTCCTGTAGTTTGCATACTGCCTTGCTTTGTTTTGTGACTGTTCTTTGAAATCTCAACATGGCCTTTGTTTCCAAGTATGATTTCTCAGGCAGAAGGTTTTGCTACAATCACAGCTGTGGACCACTAATGTGATATTCACTATAATGATGAGTTATCTGTAATGTATCATTTGGCCTTCAGACAAGAGAGCTGGCGTAGCCTAAGAAGATTACGGTTTATTAAACACCATCAGTACTAATCAGTATTATCGTACTTTTAGCAAGACCTACATACCAAGTACTTTATCCCCTTATCCAGTAGGGGAACTAGTTGTGGGAGCTAAAAATAAAACCTGGACTAGAACTGCCCCAGATTCTGAAATGCTAACTTGCTAGCAGAAGCATGGAGAGTTATAAACTTGCCGCCCAGAGTAGAACTTTGGTCTAGATGGGCAGGGTAGAAATCCAATAAAATAAATAAATAAATAAACTTGCCATTTTTTCAGGTTTCACAACCTGTAAAGGAGGGCTGTTTGCATCAAATGTCAAAAGCCTCCTCTTGCGTATACTCATATTGTTTTAATTAGCTGTATTTTATACGCTTGAATATGATTTTATTATTTTATATTTTGTTAACTTTCTTGGTGAGATTATCAGTTCATAATTCCTAATAATCAACAGCACAGGTATCTCTAAGAGACAACCATAGGTGGTTGGGAACATGTGGGACTGTTCCCCCATCTCTTGCTAGATTCTTGACTCTCAGATTTCAGGAATATTTAGTTATGTTAAACCTGGAAGGAAATGTTTGATTAGCATGCTGTAAGTGAACACAAACCATGATGGTACTTAATCTAGATTTGTGTATATAAAGTTGATATTGGGGAATTTAAGGACTTGGAAGACCATACTCATTGGCCGAAATCCAGTAATAAATCACTACAGTAGGCCTGTTGAATTAGTGGGGATTTGGTGAGTCAACTCCTCTATAAATTCCGTTGATTCAGTGGGTTTTCTTTAATTGCAACTTACTACTAGATTTCAGCCACTATGTGCTGTTGATTCTGACTTATGGTAGGAACTGCTGGATAGCTCAGTAGTTTCAGTATCTGGCTGCAGAGCCAGAGGCTGGGAGTTCAATTCCCAACTGAGCCTTCTTGAGAAGCGCTGCTCAGTCATCCACAGGGTCCCTTCCAGTTCTGCAGTTCTAAGATAATGATGATGATGAACCCTTTCCAGAGTTTTCCAAATCTAACATATTCAGAAATGCTTTATCAGTCTCTCCTTCTGTTGGTGCTTTCAGACTGCACAGCTTGTTCAAAGATGCACAAGTCGGCTCTTTTCCAGGAGACACAGCAAAAATTTAACTCCTGACTCCTAACTGCTCCAATACACTGAGCTATCCAGTTAACTGAAAGAATCATGGCCATCTCTTGTGCACATAAACGGCAAAGAAAGCAGAGACTTATGAATCTGAATGCTCAACAAAACCAAATTTTCTGAATTCAATTACTGATTTTCACCTAAATTTTTTTGATGCTCTGTTTCCTGAACTAGTCATGTTTGTCTTCCTCTTTTTCAGATACAGTCTTAGACAAATGCCAAAAAATAATATGCCATTGTGACAGAGAAGCAGCCAAATGTTGGAGATCTGCACGCTTTAACCAACACCATGCCTTCTGGCCAAATTTTCTATGTGGCCATACTTATCCTGTATGTAGTTATAGGAGTAAGAGGCATTGAGAGTTTAAAATAAACCACAACACTTTAACTTTGTATTCATAATGTTAGACTCTGTGGTGTTTGCCCTCGAGTCCCCTGTTTGTTTTTCCCTCACAAAGGCTCACGTTGCATTTTCTTCTTGCTGCCACCAGTGGATTACTTCAATCCACAATTTAAATGATGTATGTCAGAACACTTGTCTTGTGAACAGAAACAGAACTTATTTATTGTAGTGAAGCAGACTGAATAACAGAAGTTTTTAAGATAAACATTCTACATAAGCAAATCATCAACAGTTCTCTCAGTACATACTTCTTTTCTCTTGCTATATCATCACCACCTTCTCTACCTATTTTCCTAATCAGCTCTATCTCTCTCAGTATCTGTTCCCCTTCTCTCTGACTAACCAGCCCTATCTGACTCCTCCTTCTCCCACCAAACCTCATGTAGCTGCTGACTCTGCCTCTCCAGTCCTCTCATAGGTTCATGCAAATCAGCTCATGAATATGAATAGCACGAGTGACGTGGGCAATCACCACAGACTCCTTAGTAATTTGTATATGATTCTACTAGTTGAATGAAGATAGCCACTTCAGAACACTGTGTCTTCTCAGATCCTGAAATAAAAACAACCAAATGACTGTTTCTCCTGTTAATGATCATATTCTGTAAAACACATTCACAGAGCTGTAGTCTGTGAAAATGTATGATACAGAAGGGTTGTGTGGTCACATAGTCAGTTCACTTTACCCTAGTACAGTTGGTTGGTCACTGTTTTTAGATTTAAATTAGATCAGGCATCCTTCAGTCTCCAGAGACTATGGTAACGTGCTCTAAATAAAGGACTTGGGACAGCATCTAGTGTGGCTGAGAAGGCCAATACGAGAGTGACAATCTCTTCCACATTGAAGGCAAATACAATCTGTCCCCTGTCCAGCTCCCTGATTTTGCTGATTTCAGGACTGCCTCTTTGCCTTGGCCTGCTGGACAAGTGTCTCTTCTAAATGGGAGAGGCCATGAAGCATCGCCTGCCTCCAGGCTGAATGCTCAGATGTCAAGGTTTCCCATCTGTTGAGGTCCATTCCTAAGGCCTTCAGATCCCGTTTGCAGATATCCTTGTATTGCAGCTGGGGTCTCCCTCTGGGGCGCTTTCCCTGCACCAATTCTCCATACAGGATATCTTTTGGAATCCGACCATCAGTCATTCTCATGACATGCCCGAGCCAACGTAGGCGTCCCTGTTTCAGAAATGTATACATGCTAAAAACTTTTTGGTCATATAACCATTTTGGTCATATAACTCCACAGTAGAGCAAAAACACAGATATTTTATATGCTGAGACCATGACACAGTCTCCTTTTAAAAGGCATTACAGAGGCATGCAAAATTTACCATTCTTTCCTGTGGTACACATTGGTATCTCATGTTCCATCAATCATTCTATCAAAGGATCTGAGTCCTATCAGGAGAGAAATAAAATTCCTATTTTCCCCCTAGATAGATATTTTTATGTTTATAGGAATTCTTTTACTATAATTTTAATGTACACTAAATTGGTGGGCAGGGTATTAGGAAAAGCACTGAATAACCAACGTTACAACAACATAGTAAAAGGTCACTGATGGATAATCCATGGCAAGAAGATCAACAGAAGATGGCACATTACATACGCAGAAGAAAATGTGGATTGAGGGACAGTAAATTGTTATTTTGTTATGAAGCGCTAGTGTCCTATCTAGACTTCTTCTGTGGTCCCTAGAAGAAATCCTCCTTTGAGCACTTCTCAGAAACTGGAGAGGTTTCCTAAGAAATCACCTGTTCAAAGTCTCAGCCCATGAGGAGAGAAATACCTCATCTCTATTCTGAATACCTTTGAGGTTCTGATTTTTCTCATGAAGTTGCCCTCTCAAAGACTGAAGTAAAATATCTAGAAGTGACATGGCCATAAAAAAGAGCTTCCAAGGTATGTGTGGGTTATATAAAATATCAATAACATCTATGGATTCTTCAGGCTGCCATTGTCCTGTGAATCAACATGAGTGACAAATACTGGCAATAGATCAACATTCAGATGGCTGACATCTAGGACCAGCCATCACAAGGACAAGAGTTTTGGCTCTTACAAAAGCACAGGATATTGATACTCTTTTATTGTGTTAATAGTGCTGGGAAAGGACCTAATAGAGAATTGCACAAAAATGTTTGTATTTGTTTTTTTAAACGTCCATGGTGACTTCAATTAGAAGTGCAGTTTCTGGAAGAGATAGTTTAGGTGGGATGCTTAACCACCTCCTCCCACATACTGCAAGTTCTCCCTCCTACCCACATCTTCCAGATGGATGTCTATAAGGAATATAGTGCCACTGTATAATTATGATGGACGTGATGTCAGCAGGGCTTATCTTTCACAGGGCAACATCCTGTTCAAACAGGTGTAACAATGCCTGACAACAAGGAACTTCGCAGTTTGATTATGCAATTGGTTATTGCACAATATACTGGTGGAAGTGCTTTGTGGATAGCACTTCCACCTGGGCGCTATCATAGCTAACACAAACATAACTCATAATTATGCTCATGTAGCTACACAACAGGATTTTTCCTGTAGTCTGTATACTTATCAACAGTAATATTTCACAAATAACATACAAGAGGCTCTGATTGCGGATTCTATGGATACACTGACAGTGCCATCTCTTTGTAAAATAAGCTTTATAAAATCTGAAACATGTTCTAAAAGGATGTTAAAGACATTTTTATTGTACCTAGGGAGGACACAACAATTAACCTTTTTGCTTCCATTCAGAAAACCTATGTTGTCCTTGGCACATCTGTTCTTTAATCATGTGTCCACATTATGCTAAGGAGGAAGAAAAAGAATAAAGTAAATAAATAAATAAATAAAAAAGAATACCAACAAAACAGTTTAAGTCTCAAGTAATTATTTTACAGCTACATTTTCACTGAAAGCACATACTATTGAAGCATGATTTCTATAATGACATCAACCAAAGTTAGTGCAGCAAAAGTCTGTAAACTGTCTAAATGAGCCATTCTTACTTCTTTTTTTGGCTACAGCTATAAACACAATATTAAAGAAATATAGGCGGAATCAGGATTATATATGCCACACTTGTAAGGTGGTATGTGAAGAAATGTGTCCAGTCTGTGGCTCCCTTCAACTGTGTCAGGACCCCCCCCCCAGGGGTCCATATGGCCCTCTGTTGAGAATGGCTGGTCCAACTATTTATCTGATTCCTAGACTCCACTATAGGTTGCTGATGCTGAACTTAAGTTGTTTCTATTTATCAGTTTTTTATATTTACCTCAGTCTCGTTCCATTCTGCACCCAGAAGAGAATAAAGACAGCTGCAGTGATGTAATAAGCCATTCAGATATGAACTTTAACAGGTGTTGTACTGCTTAATCTGATTGTTTTATGCTGCTGTCCTTAGATTCCTAGGCAACAAAGTAGCTGGAGAAGAATAGATTTTCCCAGAAACAGTATATTGTTGTAAGCTATCGTTGCTGTAATGTAAAATATTTCAGGGATGTTTTGTCTTCAGTGGGCAGTTAGGATCCATTAGATTTTCCCCTGCTTCTGGGGCAAATGAAAACTGTTGGAACTAGAGATGGGCACGTTCCCTTCCCTCACATCGCCAGCTGGATTCTTCCACTCATCAGCCAGTTTACGCTCCTCTTCAGCTGTTCAGCCAATTTCTGGCAGTAGCACAGACTTCCCTGCCCTACCTCCTCGGCTGATCGCCCACTCAGACAAGGAGGCAGGACAGGCAAGCCCGTGCTTCTGCCAGGGACTGGCTGAACAGCTTAAGAGGAGGATGAGAGGAGTACACTCCGGCTGGTGAGTGGGGCATTGGCCAGGGAGGTGGGGGAAAGGAATGAGTGGCACCTGTGGTACAAACTGGCACAAACCTCCAAACTGAGGTTCATGTCCATCTCAAGTTGGAACTCTCTTGTTGATACAGATCAATCCAGCGCTCTGCATTTTCGGTCTTTCATATGAAGGGAGAGAAGCTGACTGTGAGTACTATAATGACGAGCACCTGGATGTTAAAATTTACTGCTATACCACTGAAGTGACATCAATGAATAATGAGTCAGATGCTACAATTTTTTCAATAACATACCAAGACTGAGTGGAATGGCAAGGGATGATGACTATTGTACTGGTCCATCAAAGGCCAAGTAGGGTTAGAAAGAGGCATTTCTTCTGCCATTAATTCTCCTTTCCCCACTCTGCAATGCGATTTCTCCTCCCACAAAGTTTTTATTCATACCCTAAATATATTTATGTCCCAGCGGTTTCAGTGTAGCTAAGTAAATTTATGTACAGCCTTAGTCTACATTGAGATGCCACTGTTGCACTTCTCAGCATTTCAATTCTCAATGCAATATAATTTTTTTCCTAGTCTGCTTCAGGAGCTCTATGTGTTGTGCCTGTTTACAGAACATGTAAGCTTCATCTTCCCAAAATAACTGGGCTGTGTTGTTTCAGTGTTTGTTTTTCTTTTTTTAAACAGAGGCAGATCTGCCAGACAGCCAAGGACTATGAGGCATACAGATGCCTGCATCATCTAGTAAACATAAAACCCCCACACACTTTTCTAGGAGAAAAATGCTGTTTTAAAATAACCTACAAAGCATGATAGTTGTAGGGTTTTTGGGCTGTTTGGCCATGTCCGAAGGTTTTTCTTCCTAACATTTCACCAGTCTCTGTGGCTGGCATCTTCAGAGGACAGAAGTTAGAACTTTGTGTTATGGTATAGTATAGTTGAGTATTTCTAGCTGTGGGATCAGCTTTTTGTCCTTTTCAGAAGATTGGGTGATTATGGTGATCAGGATGTTTTTTGTTATGGTTGTTTTGTTGGGATAAAGGCGGAGATGATCTGTCACTGTGATTTATGGGTATTGTTAGCTACCCCATATATCATAAAATTATTCTTTTTCATCTCTCCTTTCTTAACCTTTAAGTTACAAGTTAGCATATCATTTATAGCTATATTCCATATTTCATTATACCATTCATCCATTTGAAATTCAGATTTTGATGTCCATTGCCTGGCTATTATTAGTCTAGCTCCTGTTAATAAATTGGTAATCAATTCTTTAGTCATCTTATCATATTCCACATTCTCAAATACTGATAACAAAGCAATCTCAGGATTAAATTCTATATCTTTTTCACATATGTCATTTAGTTCTTTAAAGATTAGTTTCCAAAATCTTTGTACTTTTTCACATTCCCACCACATATGAAAGTATGTACCAATTTCCTTCTCATATTTCCAACAGACATTCAGATAAGTAGTGTTAATTTTATTCAATTTTGTCGGTGTTAAATACCATCTTAAGCCCAATTTGAAAAAATGTTCTCTTATTCTAACTGACATAAATCTTAAAACCCTCATTTTCCACATCTTCCTCCATTCTTCATCATTTATTCTTTTTCCTAAGTCTTGTTCCCACACTAACTTCAATCCTTCTTTCTCACTCTCTTCTTCTTCTAAGTCAAGCAGGCATCTATAAATTTTACTCACTGCACCCTTTACTGAATCAGTCGTCTGAATACTTCATATGATAATAGAAATTGTTCATACTTCATGTATTCTCTACCTTTATTATATTTCTTTACCCATTCATTAGTCCATCTTTCTAATTTTCCTTTCCTTTTTGTTGAAGCTGTGCTGGTGTTTGTGGATTTCAATGGCTTCCCTGTGTAGTCTAACACAGTGGTCCCCAACCTTTTTGGGGTCACAGACTGGCTGGGGGGAACAAGCTCCATGCATGGGGGAGCAGGGGCACGCCCATGCAAGCACGGTGGGCAAGCACGACACACCCACCATGGGCACGACACACCCACTGAGCATGTGGGGGGGACGGAGATCCATATCCGCAGCCCAGTTCCAGCAAGCCCATGGACCGGCACCAGGCCTTGGACCAGGGGTTGACCACCCCTGGTCTAACATAATGATTGCTGGTGTTGTACAGTACTTCTGTGTTTTGAAATAGGATTTCATGTCCAGCTTGTTTCAGGGCATGTTCAGCTACTGCTGATTTTTTTCAGTTGTTTTAGTCTGCAGTGTCTTTCCTGTTCTTTGATTCCTTTCTGGATGCTGCATTTTGTGGTCCCAATATATATCTGGCCACAACTGCAAGGTATATCCGGTATACCCCTGCAGTGGTGTCCTTTGCTGACCATAACATTTGTTGTATTTTTGTGGTGGGCCTGAATACTGTTTGTAGGTTGCGTTTTTTCAAAAGTTTTCCCATGCAATTTGCGACTCCTTTGATGTATGTCAGAAATACTTTATTTGTGGGCAGCTGTTTTTCTTCTTCAGTTCGGTGCTGTTTTCTCAGTTTGATGGCTCTTGTGATTTCATTCTTAGAATAGCCATTTGCCTGTAGGTTGGGCCCTACAGGAAAATGGCTATTCCAAGAATGGTTGGTTCTGATGGTTGAGTTTGGTGCTGAGAAACTGAGCTTCACAGTTCTGATTTGCACAGTCTACCAGTGTTTTGATTATGCCTCTTTTCTGTCATGGGTGGTTGGAGTTTTAGTGTAGGTACCAGTCTGTGTAGGTGGGTTTTCTGTACACCTTGTTTCCCAATAGGAGGTCAGGTTTGTGTATTACACTAAACTAAAGAAGAAAAACAGTTACCCATAAATAAAATATTTCTGCCATACATCAAAGGGGTCATGGACCACATGGAGAAACTTTTGAAATAAAATACCCAGCACATAATCAATAGGAGAGACAAATAATTTTTCAGACTTTGCACCTATTTTCCCTTGATCCTATTTTGCACAGTAAAGAAAGACAGAGTAAGAGAGAGAGAGGCCATAAATATGAAAATTCACAGATGAATAGTACATTTCAAATTTACCACAAAGAAATAAATTACAGAAATCATAGCTTTGTCACAGAGTGTACACTTTGCCTGCAGACAGTGCTATGGTCACTCCTTGGCCTTGCTGCTTAAAAATGATGAAAAAGTTGCTGATACAGTAGACCTCCTTCTGCCTAAAATCTGGCAGTCAGAACACATAATATTCAGCTAGTGCTCAAAGAGTCTGACATGGTATAAGGCTGCTTCCTACCTGTTAGAAGTAATAACGTTTAGGGCAACAAGGAGGCCGCAACACAAGTTCTGCAAAATGGTGGAACTGCTAGTTTTGGAAAGGTGTAATAAATAATATCTGTTATTTCAAAACTTTTTGGAGTCATTTCCGGAAATGTGGGACCATTTCAAAATTTAGGGCCCAGGATTTACCTTGGCCCCAGTTTGTGCTCAGTGAGTGTGGAAGAGTTAGCAGCGTGGCAGTCACTTATCGGGAGGTGGGGGGCTTCTTGAGTGCTGTCTTGCAAGTGCAGACCCCTTTCTCAGTGTTCCTCCTGGCCAAACATGAAACAGCCAGGGGCAGGACATGCCTAGTGGAGTGTTTTCACTCTGGTTTGCTAAGAGGCTGAAAAGAGTAGACCATCTGTTCTCCCACAAACCATTTCATTGTTAAAGATTGGTTGGGAATGTCATTGCATGTTTTCTCCTCACAACTTGGGGGCGGCTTTGGAATATGAGGTCACATCCAAATTGGAAGTGGGAGCAATGGCACATCCGTGACTCTCCTCAGATGGCAGTCCTCATAAGGGACCATGGGGGCAAACAGACAAATGGCTGTAGTGTCACCTTTACCCACATGTGTTGGAAAGTGTCCCTTCAGGAGCCTCATGGTGCAGTGGTTGAACTGCAGCCAAAGCTCTGTTCACAACCCGAATTCAATCCCACGTAGCCAGCTTGAAGTTCACTCCGCCTTCCATCCTTCCAAGGCTGATAAACTGAGTACCCAGCTTGTTGGGGGCAGCAGGGGCAATTTGTAGCATGCATACACATAACTAAAGAGAATGTTTTAAGCACTGTGGGGCTGTTATATAAGCAGCACACTTTGCTTTGGTGGCCTATGTCCATCCGGTTAATGCCAAATCCTGGATTCTCTCTCATCAGGCAGGTTGACTGATGTCAGGCTCCATCCTCTAGGGAAGGGCCAATGCTAAGACATTGCTATAAATCAACACAGTTGTGGCTGATTTCTCCCAAAATAGTTTGCAGGGTACCGTATTGTTACTTCACGGCACAGCACCCCTGGAACTTGGCCCACAAGTTAAAGGAAATATGCTCATTTGTTGCTGTTTAGTCATTAAATTGTGTCCAACTCTTTGTGACCCCATGGACCAGAGCACGCCAGGCCCTCCTGTCTTCCATTGCCTCCCGGAGTTGGGTCAGATTCATGTTGGTAGCTCATTACTACTAACTTAATAACATAGCAACATAGTATTGTTACTAACAACTAGTGTAATGCGTTATTTTTATATGCAGATAACAAGAGCTAATAACAAATTATTTTTATTTTTTAGATGCTAACACTAAAGCTTTTAAAGCTAATATATACCATGCTGTGATTCCAAGTAGCCTGGAGACATTCATATGGGTAATCTTCAACATTCCCTTAGAAAGAGAACAATGTGCCAAAGGCCTCTCTCAAGCTTACATATGCACATGCTTTCCAGGTAGAGAATAGTGACTGAAATCTTATTGCACAGCTCTGCCTGTACAACAGTCATAGTATCAACAGAAGGAGCAAATTCCTGCTGATTAAAGGTGATTTCAGAGCACATGTGACTTATATGCAATGCAACAAAGCTGCATACACCCCAAAATTGCCAAAGCAAGCCTTTACTCAGTAGTGATTTTCCTCTGATGATGATGTCACCACTCTTATGCAGGCAGAGCTGTGCAACAGGACGTCAGCCAATGAGGCATTAAGATTTACTCTTGATTTACAAAAATTGTCCATTACTTTTGCCCTTTTAGTCACCATTCTGTGTGAAGTGGCTCTTATGCAAAATAAATAAATAAATAAATAGATGATGTCACCACTCTTATGCATGCAGAGCTGTGCAACAGGACGTCAGCCAATGAAGCATTAAGATTTACTCTTGATTTACAAAAATTGTCCATTACTTTTGCCCTTTTAGTCACCATTCTGTGTGAAGTGGCTCTTATGCAAAATAAATAAATAAATAAATAACTCTTTTCCCCTTTTAGTCACCATTCTCTGTGAAGTGGCTCTTATCCAAATAAATAAATAAATAATAAAAGTGAATCATGCATTTGCCAGAAACATGTACATTTTCAGAATTGATAATCCGGTTTACCCATACCTTGGTGGGAGGTTCTTTTGGCACATGGAAGACATTTTCTCAGATGAGGGACTAAAACTATGATCAGAACAACCAAGCCTCCAATGCTAGCTGCCAGTACTCCAATAATGGTTCCAATAGATTCTTCTATACCAAAAAATCCTGTGGGAAAACGGACAATCAGAAATCTATGATACTGAATATATGGCAGCATATATGGTCCCAACAACAAATCCTTCTTTACGATTTCAGCCTTCGTCCCAAAATAAAGCAGGTTCTGATCCAGCTCTGTGTTAAACAGAATTTTGTTGTGTAGGTGACATTATTTTGATTGTTAGAGTTTATGTCTCCTCAGTATAAAAAAATATTCCCACATATCTGTTGATACCCTCACTCTTGTGCATGTGTGGTGCAGTTTGGGCTATTTAAATGCAAGCATAGGATGAGCCTTTCGTTGATATTAGTGTAGAGAGTATAATATGAAACATTCTGGTTAACCTTGATTTCCCTTTTTGACATCTGATGAGGAAAAAAAACTTGTTCCTATGCCTTAAAAACATTTGGCCTCCAGATGTAATCATATGGACCTTTTTCTGGAAGGATGATTGCTGATATTTGACAGTGAGATAGGGTTAAATGCACAGGAGCATGGGCTGGAGAATGATAAATTATGGTGCCTAAATTTGGGACTTAAAATTTTAATAGGTAAATTTCTTATTTTATGCAGGATTGTAAAATGCTGTAAAACCATTTGACTTAATACTATAAGAGAAGAAAGTTAGTTTTAACAAATATTTTCTTAAAGGCTTTTAATTAATCTTGAGTTCAGTACTGATTTAATGGAAATAGAAATGGAGTTCCTACAATCAGTGTAATGAAAACAAAACAAAACACCTTATTCTTTTAATCACCAGATTAAACTTCTATCGTCCATGCAGCATTGATGCTTCTTTAAGTGCTTTGCTGAATTGGGAGCCCAAAATCTGTACTGCTCCATTGTATTTGCACTACAGAACGCTAGATGTCGCTCAAGTTTAAAATAGAATCTATTCAATTTCTCTGCACTTTTTTTTCAGTCCAGGCCCTGGAGAAGTATCTGAAGATATTATAACAAGGATTTAGTTGAACCAAAATTTTAGGTACAATAACAGTAATAAAGCTTCAAACTGTTACACACGCTTACAGGAGATTAATCCCCACTGAACTCTCTAGGAATTTTCAGTAAATTTACTTACTTAGTTACTTACTACTCCATTAGTACAATACCTTATTCTGCCCAGCCGTCCGCAAATAGTCCTAACTTTTTAGTGATTCAGTAGAAGTACTGGTCTTTTGTTTTCATATGCATATGATTCAGCACCAGTTCACACATACATGTGTAACATTGTTTGTTGAATGTTGCCTCACCAGTCAGTTGATGACGTTCATGTGTGAACCACTAACAAACTAATAACTAAAGATAGGTGTTTCATGTCATTCCCATTGTATCTCAGTGGGATGCTTTTGGATGGATACAGTTCACACTTTGGTTAGAAGTCATGGGGGAATAGGGTTGTTTGTGGTTTAGGGGCACTTCACTACAAAATTGGGGGGGGGTGCAATTACTCCCATCATGAGCTACTGTACCTACAAATGACAGATCACCTTGTATTTGAACACAGTGTGAGCCACTGCATGGATTTCACCTCATGCTGATGGCCTATATTTAGCATATCCAAACCAGAAACAACTTGACAGGACATCATCATCATCATTATCATTATTACCCTATTAATAGTAATGGTAGGTAGTAGAAGGAGAAGGAGGAGGAGAAACCAGAATTATTGGAAATGATAGAAATATGCCTCTGTTTCAGACATTGTAGAATAGACTGAGGAGTCTATAAGATAAACATCAGGACCTTTCTATATCAGATAGTTAAACTAGTTGACAGCATTCACTTTCCACAGGGATTGCTTTTTAACTGTGTTCAACAAGGAGAAATAAAGATTTTTAACAGGATTTTGAGCAATCTCACCAAGCAAACAATTCCAAAGATTCTCTGAGGGAAGTAGTCATGTGGTATAAAGCCATGCTATACATTTGTCTTAATGGTCAGGGTCAAGTCACACAGCCAAACTATGTTACAGAAAGCCCATCATTAGAAAAGGACAGTCCTTAAATAGTGATTACATGTGACTGTTCCAATGAAACCTTTTCTCATATCCTCAAATTTCTGAACTAACATTCTTTATTTTGTGCTTGGTCTTTACAATATAAGCATATTCTATTTTTTTGTGGGTCTGAATTCTCAGCCATGTTTGCCTAAATCTTGCCTCAGCTAATGTGGTTTCAGGTCTAATGAGAAGTTATCTGGCCATTACATCATTTGACCATTAGTCAACATTTCTGTAAATAATGTACTGTTGAATAACAGTTGCAGACCAAGTGACTTGGCTGTATTTCTTGCTTTTTAGCACACAACTTAGAAAGTAAAGGATTAAACAAACAAATAAAAAAAATTACCCATGGCCCTTTGGATCCTGAGCTTTGTGCCGTCACCTGTTACCACTTCTCCAGTGGGAAGAATCACCTGGCAAAAATAAGTGCCATGATCGCTGGTAGTCACGTTTACGATAGTCAAAGATGCATCACCCTCAGATAAATTCCCTATCATGGAAACTCGGGTGTTGTTTGCCACTACAGTGACATTGTTCTCCATAAGGTCCCTCTGCCCCTTTTCATCCTCCTTGTACCACTTCACGGCTAGGTTATTCAAAGATGGGCCATGGGGACTTTGGAACTGGCATCCAAGGATGACGGTTTCACCCTCTTTGGCTTTGTCTTTACTGGGGGTCTGAGACACAAATGGAAGCCATGGTTCAGGGGTCGTCCTTTTTCTGTGAAACATTATGGTGTGGGTGGTGGCTGATGAAGTGCCAGTGACGGCTGCATTCCCGTGAGCTGCATTTCCAGCACAAACCACTGCAAAGGAAGAAAGAGAGATGAGGATTTCTTGAGATTTAGAGAAAGTAACATTTCTCTAGGAAGCAGTGAGATTTTGTAGATGTGAGCGCTGAATTGTGTTATTTATAGGTTCATCAGACTTTTTTGAATTAGACTAGGGTTTTATCCAATATGAAGAGAAACCAGGGTATGCATCGAACTAGGGTTGCCAGCATCCCATTTCCTGAGATTTCAGGGCAGCAATTCCCAAAGTTGGGTCCTCAGATGTTCTTGGAATGAAACTCCCAGAAGTCTGTGTTAGCCAGGATTTCTGGCAGCTGTAGTCCAAGAACATCTAAGGAATCAAGGTTAGGAAGTACTGTTTATGGGCAATATTTGAGACCAGAGCTAAGTCTTGTGATGTCAGAGGAACATGACATGATGGCTTAAACCATCCCTTGTAGTGAAGGGATGGTTGAAATTGGTTTTAGATCAGTTAATTGTGGGAGCAGACATAAAATACCCCACTCCCTGCCTTTCTCCAAATAGCGTGATGGGTGCTGGTTCCCCTGCCCATCTACTTTCCATTATTTTTTTGGTCTACTGATGTTGTGCAAGACCAAGAGAAATACAACAATGTTTGCACTGAGCCAGTGAACTCTGGCTGAAGCTGGAAAGCACTGGAGATGGTAATCCAGCTTTAAAACCAATTCACACACATATTTCGACTATTGTTGTTTAATTGTCCACTAAGCTACATCCCCTTCCTATAATTAATATAATAATAAAAACAACAGGCTATGTCCTAGTTGGAATTCCATGTTTGAAACTAGATGGATGTTGCTGTAAAAACACACACAAAAAAATCCGTGCAGCGCATTTTGAGCTGGAATGAACATGAGACTTCTGAAATCTGTCCCAAAAATCATGGAAGCAGAGGAAATTATTTTAAAAGTAAACCCCTCTTTCTGATTTTAGACTTGGAAAATTTTTGTGCTCTTTTATCTATCTCATTGTTACAGCTGTAAATGTTAAGCCTAAGTCTGCCACTTAGCCCTATCGGTATCATAATTATGATTAAACCTGTCATTTGTTTCTGATCATAACTTCATGCTGATTGTGCCTGTCTAACAGCAGCAAAGCCTCAGTTCTGATTTATCTGCCACACTGAAATATCAGACCTTCTCATCTGAAATGTGGGTGTATGGGTGTGAAGTTTGGCAGGAAGCAGTGGTTCACATCTTACACTTCATAGTAGTCCATACTCCTGGGATTTCATTGTAAAGGTCACTGTGCAGCCAGGGCTTCTTTTAAATATTGCATAAGGTTATTAGTTCACTGGTACATATATATGCTAGACTGATACCACCCAACAGACCTCTCTCAGTCCATGTGTTTCGTAATGTAACATCAAATGCTGCCTGTTCAGATTCTATATATAGAGGGCTAGGGGTGGGTCTTATTTTGCCCTTTGTTTCAGGAAGAAAGATGTCCTGAATTGGCTCTGGCTGGAAGCCTTTGGCTGTAGACTGGGGTATATATGTAAATTCAATCTAAAAAAAAAACAATAGTACCATCAGAGCTGCTGTTGCTTCTTCGCATGCATTGACCTATAAGGCTATCTATCAAATTGCTGTCCCTTCACTTCCATAATTTCCATCTACTCCAACAACTTCCCTTCCTTTCACAGAGGCAGGGTTGCTAGGTGCTTTGACTCTCGAACACCTGAACACCCTATACATTTGGTAAACCAGTCAGTGACAAAGAATTCACAGCTATCAATTCAATCAAGTACAGATTATTTGTCTTCTCTGATTATTTTATTCATAGCTGAAAACAGCTGAATATCATTCTCATCACAGCATAAGGGCAGAGAATCTTCCTCACTCATATAAATACCCTTGTCTGTTTATAACAACTAAAACTTTAAGTACTGAAAATATAGGTGAACACAGCAAGTGCAGGAATCCATTGCTAAAAAATGCATTGCTCAACACAAGGCCATTCAACTTCTTTTTTAAAAACCCAGTGAAGGAGAGTGGTCCTCATTCTGAGGTAATTTATTCTACTGTCAAACAGGTCTCACCATTGATGAATTATCCCAAATGTTTAGTTAGAATCTCCTTTCCTGTAATTTGCATCTGTTGGCTCTGTTCCCCCCCTCTAGAGATATATGAAGGTGGCTGTCATATCATCTCTGAAATCTTCTCTTCTTTAGCTAAACATACCCAATGCTCACAACTGTTCCTCACAGGTCTGGGTTTCCAGACTCTTTTCCATCTTGTCACTCCTCTCTAGACACATGCTAGCTTGTCAGCCAAGGCATCATGAAACACAATGTTGGAAACAATGCTGTCCCTTTTTTTAGCAGGGTAGATTTAATGACCTATATATAGAGCTAGACCTTTATCATAGCTGTGAACTTCCTATAATAAATTCAATGCTGGATATAAGTCTGGGGCATTATAAACATCAATAAAATGAATATGACAGCTCCATCCCTACAACAGAGAAAGAAGAAGTGAATATTTGCTGTCCTTCAGACAAAATTAACTGTCTGAGGTGACCACTCCACTCAACTTTGTAAAAGCAAGGTCAGCCCTATGAAATACAAAGGAGGATGTGTTTTCTGTAATCCTTTTCTGATAAGTTGAAGCTGTGAAATTTCTTAAATATTCTCTTCCTCCTCTCTACTCCTTTCTTGGGAACTACCCTCACACAGGTCTGGCAGGGGAATTCTAGGATTTTTCAACAAAAAAGAGCAACATTTCCCGGCTTTGGGTAAATGTCTCCTGTCTTTAAGAGAAAATACAACACAGTACCGTAATACTTTCCTGTTTACAAACGGAAAGGGTGATGAGATAAGAGAAGATGTAAAAAAAAAAAGAAGGCACAAACCCCCTCTTTGCCTTGAGAATACAATTCTTTAACAGAAAAGTATCTTTTACATGCACAAACACCTATCACCTTCCAAATATCAAACCCCATCAACTATACGAGTACAGACTGGGGCATCTGAACACAACAAAGGCAGTCCTCTGCAACAGCCCTACACTAAAATTGTGTTTATTGTACGTATTTTTTTTTACAAAAAGTGGTTATAGAATAATCAGAATCTGTAACACTGTCCCATTTCCACAGTCAGCTCTTATGCATATTGACTCACTCTGTTTACATGCTAGAAAGTACAGTAAAGGGGAATGAGCTGCATCTTTATTTTTGCCATAAGCAGAAATCAGAGGTGCAGACTTAGAACCCCAATGTCAACATTTTCAAAATAAAATAAAATAGCCATTACTTACCCAACCAGAGAGAAATCAGAAGAAAGGGGAGCACTGCCCAGTTATAGAATATCAGGATTTGCTGCTTCATAACCAAATATTGTGTACCCTCTGCTTTTATCTTATGCTCCACCAACGTGAGCAAGGAACAAAGATGTGTTTCTCTCTGTGTTGTGACAGAACAAGAGTTCACATTCTGCCCAGTACATGTCACACTTACTAAAGTTACTACAGCTTTGACTTCACAGGTCTCTGTCTACTGCCTAGGGGGCTGCCACTTTTAGACTTCCTGCAGAAGGTATTAATCTCTGTTAGAAAAGCTGAAGGAAAGGAACATGAAAGAATACAAAGGGGCATGATTTTTATAAATGTTTCATCCTACCTGGATGTAGTCCAGTATTTTTGTACAACGTTTTTACACCATTTTGTAAACTATTTTTTACTGAGGTACAAAATTTTTTTTTTGTACTTCTGCCTTAACCCTCTTGAATAACTCTCAAAAATAGGTCATGGCAAACTGATGCCCTCTTTTAACTTTATTCTCTTCAATGTACTTAACTTTTGGTTCATCTCACTGGAGTTCTGAGAACAACCCTTGTATTGGATGGTCGGAGAACAATAACAAATAAAGATGCATTGCCTACAGAAACAGTCCAGAATTATGTGTGCCAGCCCTGGAATATATCTGGAGAGTCTGGACTCTGACAATACCTTATCTTGTCTATCAAAATATTGCAATCACCCCTCATATATGTGGTGGAATATAGCAGGACTTCAGGGAACACATCTGAGGTCTAGAATGAACAGAATGGCCACCAAACACATAGGCCTGCCTTCACTGCAGACTGGAGTCCTCCATATAGATAGTGAGACAGAAGATACAACAGCCAACCCGGGGTGGGGGGTGGGGAGCAAGAGTCAGGCTTAATATTAACTGCTCCTCCATCTTCTCCCATGAGCATCCACACAGAATGTCAAGCAGGGATTTTAGCAGGAAGGGGAGTATCTGGTAAGGACCCAGGCCCAAGTGATCCAGCTGAGCTTGAGATGGTAAAGCAATCCATTTGCCTCAAAAGACGAGTTGCCACTTACCCTCATTTTGAAGCACTGTTTATATTCAAGTATAAGCCTAGTTTTTCACCACCATTTTTTTGCAGAAAAGCACCCCACCTCGGCTTATACTCGACTCAGTGTCAAAATTGCATGTTCTCGCTTGCAGTGCGGGTGTTCTCCATACTCACTCATCTATGGGTGCCTGCAGCCTCTGTGGGTGGTCCAATGATTCGGATTAAGTACACTGCATTTCCGCTTCCAGGTCACTCCCATCCTCCTCCTTCTGCATATTCTATGTACCTACCTTCCTCCTCCCACCTTCCTCCTCCATCCTCCGTCTCTCTCCATCTTGTTACACAGCAATAGAGCAGTAGATAAGCACAGCATCCAGTATGAGTCCTCCCTCCGCAGGCAGTGAAGTGTGTCTCGCAGCTCAGAAGGGCAGTATTTTCTAAAGCATTTAACCTACTGATGCCTCAATTAATGTTATTTTATTTGTATCTATTTTTATTTTTGAAAATTTCCAGTAGCTGCTGCTTTTTCCACCCTCAGCTTACATTTGTCAATATGTTTTCCCAGTTTTTTTGTGGTAAAATTGGGTACTTCGGCTTATATTCGGGTTGGCTTATACTCGAGTACATACGATAAGTTAAATATTGCCCTTACCATCTAAAGAGAGTCAATGTAAGAACATTAATTGTATAG